CCTGCTAACGCCAGGTGCTGTGCTAGATTCTGGGGGAACGTCCTCCAGGCTCCATCTGTCACCACCAAATGAAACGGGACCACACTCTGTTCTCAGGATGTTACACTGGATGACTTACTTCATCCGTCCATGCCGCCCAATCCGGCCTCTTCATTGGGTGGCATCATAAGGCCATGTCCTCCAGCAAGATTCCAACATTGGTCCAGATGCATCCCAGTACCCTCTCTCTCTCGATCTCCCTTAATGTACTCGCTTAGAGTCCCACTAAATTTTGCAATGAATTATGTCTTATCTGCCTTATTAGACAGTAAACACCCCGAACTGTGTCTTCTGTAACTCGTGCCTCATACTGTGCTTTGCACGCAATGAGCACTGACCATCCCTTGTGAACTAAGGAGCTCCATGCAGGATGCGTGCGCCCAGGTTCCACTGCGGGTGTCACGGAAGAACAAACAGAAAGACCCACGGCAACTTTGCTCTGAATTCATTTACTGAACCGGGGCAGGTGATTTCACAATAGGTTGCAAGATCAGGCCGGGAGGCTTCTTGCTTTCCCTCCCAGGAGCCAGACGTGTCACGGACGCTTGCAAATTTTCCAGAATGGCCATCTGCTGCTTGGCGAGCTGGGTCTGAAGCAGGAGGTTGGTATACATGCCTTCCAGGAGCCCCAGGCATCCCTTGGGCTTGTGGTCAGCTCCTGAAGGAAGAGCGATGGAGGCACGAGGGGACCAAAGAGAGATTCTGTGAGTGTGGGAAGGGCTCCAACAAGCGGTCACCTCTACTCTTTCCAGGTACAACTCAGCCCAGACACACTTTTGCTCAGCTGTCACCTTCTCGGTGAGGCCTACCTGGCCACCCTATTTTAACTGGAAACCAGTCCCTGGAGTGTACTACCCGTCTCCCTTGCTGATTTTCCTGTAGTAGATCATATGGCATATTTTCTAGTCATCTATTCAACTGTCGTCTAAGCCCACCTTCTAGAATGCAAGCTTCAGGAAGGCAGGGGTTTTGTCCGGCTGGTTCACTGCCGTACCCCTGGAGCCTAGACGAGTGCCTGGCAGGTAGGTGTTCAACAAGCATCTGATGAGTGAACGCAGCGGCCTGAGTGAGGCCCAACTTCCCTTTCAAGGGCCAGGGGGTGCCTCGGCCCTCTTCTCCTACCTGACCGGTGTCTCACCAGCAGTGACCCGAAGTTCCTGCTGCTAACTTCAACCAGTCCTGCTGCGTCAGCCCGTTTGTCTTAATGTTTTAAGCTACAGTGTATGCAGCCAAGTCCTTCTTCACGTTGGTAGTTATCTATTGTTTGTGTCTTTATTGATGCTGACTCTTTGTTAAGCTCTGAGGTCCTCAGAAACAGGATTTGTGACTGGTCTAGTGCCATGTTAGGTTCCCCATAGGCAAGCTAAATGCCCCCTGATTTCTTCACGGGAGGATGAATGACTGATATTCGAAGAAACTAGCTAACAGTTACTATTTCCTTCCCTGGCCACTTTTTAACTAACCCTGTAAGCAAGCAATAAAATTTTCATTTCTGTCTCGCCTCGTCTAGCAAAGGTGCTAACGAGCCAGGAAACAACACAATCAGAAGAATTGGGAAGAAAATGAAATCAGTAGAAGCGAATAATCGATAACTTACCAAGAGAAAACCTAGAGGTGCCTTGACCCAGAGGTCAACAGGAGAAAGCTCGGGCTACCTCCGCCACGCCGAGTCCATTTGGGAACCCTCCCGGCACCCTTACCTGAGTGCAGCTTTGTCGCCTGGACGTTCAGGAAAGTGTCTGGTGGGGAACTTGCTTGAAGATTAGTAAAGCTGGGGGAGGCTTTGGCTCGACAAAGAGGCCCAGCATTACTTTCCTCTTTGGCTGGAACAAAATCAGAGGCAACCAACCCATCAGAGCTCATGCCAACAAGAGATGACCCTTCTCATCAGACCCTGGCAGCCGGTCTGCAAACGTGGGTGCCGGGGCCCTGCCCTGAGTAGCTTCAAAGAATGTCCTATGACACATGCGAAAAAGACACTGTAGTGGGGCGAAGAGAAACCAAGCAGGGATGAGATAAGCTAAAATCTAGTTTGCTTATTGTTACAAGTTCTTATTGGTGTGCGCTACACGCTCCCCAGTGCGCCAGATGCTAGGGCGTCCACGAGGCATCTAAGACGTGGTTTCCTAGGCGCTTAAGAGCTAGTTAGGGAGTCAAATCAGATGCTGAGGAAACAGTGACATAGCAACACAAGGATGCAAACTACGAACTCGGCAATCCGGGGTGAAAACGAGGCTTGTATCTTGCAGTTATACTAAATACGTAAGTAAATGTAAAAATAAGTGTTTTGGGAAAGGGAGATCGATATGCGTACGACAGCCAAAGGTGGCTCCAGGTAGGTGGAGGATATTTGTGCGGACTTGAAAACAGCAGGTTTTTGCTGAATGGAAAAGGTACTTCAAGTAGGAGAAAAAAGCACAGCAAGAGCAAAGGCAAGGAGGCGACATCGCCGGAATGATGACATTCGTCGCCGGTAGGGGGGGGCCCTTTACAGCAGCAAACCGGAGGACTCAGGCTTTGTCTTGAATGCAGTGAAAAGCCATCAAGACGTTTAGAATGAGAAAACACGATTAAAATCGTGTTTTCATTCATCTATAGATATTAGAATGGGTTGGACATTGGGAGAAGTTCTTAGATGGGAAAATAGGTAACTTTTGGCAAAAATAGTTGAGTTAGAAGGGAAAATCGATTTGTGGGAAGACGATGAGTCCTGTGAAAGACACGTGTTCTTTTTGTTCACTGAGCAACCCTTCCTCTGGGAAACTATTCTTTCCCCTGACACCAGGCCATACTGGTGGCCATACTCGTGGGACTGTATCAGGCCCCTGTCCCTAGCAGGAATAGGCATGGGACCCAGTCATGGCATCTTGGTCCCCTGGCAGCTGTGACTGATCCAGGGGGTAAGCAGATGAGGCAAGTTGGGCCAGAGTCATTCTCTGGGATCGATATGCAGATTCTGCATCACAGGAGTTTCTTTCTTTTGATCTGCTATGATGCGAAGATGTGAAGTCAGGGCCAATGAAAACTACTGAATTTGGCCAGCATGTCGTGGGAAGCGGATACGAGCAAGAGATTAGAGACAAGGAGATAGGTGGACAGATGGACAGACACCTACACGCACTGCACCCCAGTTCCAGTCCCTGAGGCCCTGATTTTCGCACCTCTTCTTCCTATTCTGTGGCCACCTCAGCATCCCCCGAAACGCACAAACTTCTGAATCTCTGACTAGACGATAAGAGAGGATGAGGGTGGGGAGCAGTAAAAGGAGGCAGCATAGAATAATAATTTTAACAGGTGCTTTACATACAGCGTCATCTATTTCTCACAACGATCCTATGAAGTAGGTAGCTTTGCCCACATTTTACTCGCAAAAACTGAGGTTAGGAAATCTGGTCAAGAGTCCACGATTAGGAGGTGGCGGTGCTGGAATTAAATCCAGGCCTGTAGGCTCCAAAATCATGCTCTTGACCACCACACGGTGTACTCTGCGAAATGACCTGGTTCACTGATGCCTGAGCTACGACACCATAAGCCTGTCAGGTGGCTACAGCTAAGGGGATCGTCAGGTGGCCTCAGGCACTTCCCTGGCCACCAGTGGGGCTGCCCTGCTCAAACTGAGTATCTGTTCACTAGTCCATAGAGTATCTTCTGGGATCCTTGTACATCAAGTCTTGCTGTAAGTATTAAGAAGAGCTACGAAGGGAGAATATATCATTCCACATATAATTATTGAACATTTATTATTTAACAGACCCAGTTCTAGGCACTGGGAATACAGCAATGAAAGAAAAGAAAGAAAACCCCTTTAATGAGAAATGCAGAATAAAGACAAATACTTTCCAATTCACCAGGTAACAGGAAAAATGTTCGTGCAATTAGAATCATCGCCCTAAATGCTGAGCAACTAGGGTCTGGCCTTCGAGGGGAGGGGGAGGTGGGGTCCCCACACACACCTTTTCTGTTGGTAGGATGGCTACTATGCTGCTCCATCTGAACACCAATAGGTGAGGTGCCTGGGAAAGAATCACAGGGTCACAGGGTCAACAACCCATGCCATTATTTTACTATGGACAGTTGCAGCAGGTCCCCGGATGTTCCGATTTGGGGAGGGAAATATGAGAGGGTGTACTCTTCTATTTTATGGCCAAGTATAAGTGACTTTTGAATTGCTCGCGCTCTCATGGTCCCTTCACTAGTTCGGAATATCAATGTTCCCATCGTTATTGCTTCCTTTTATCTGGAAAAAATGGTAATTGGATCAACCCTAACGCTACGAACGGGCAATTACTCTGTTCTCTCCACGTCTGGCTTCTGTAACACTAGCCCTGTTCCTGTCCTGTAAGGTCATCTAAAAGCTCTGGCTGCAGTCTCTCTAATCGACCGGCAGTTGAGTGGATGAGGGCAGGGGAGGCAGAGGGCGCGGAGCAAAAAACCCGCAAACTCTACGGGGAACTTTTGAGAAAATATTTGGACAGCATAACTCGGGGGTTATGCAAGCCGCCACCCTCTGGCAGCGCTCAAGGCCTCGGCAAGAAGCACATGCCTGGGAAGGGGGAGGTCCACGTACAGCCACCAGTCCCCGGATAATGAACCACATCTCCCGGTTCCCCCCGCAGCCGCGCCGCCAGGTCTCCCCTTCCGGGGATGCGGTCCCGCCCCGCCGTTCCTCCCCGTTTTGCTAAGCGGGAACTAAAAAGGGGAAACTGTCACGCCTTTCTTGACCTTCGCGGCCTGAGAGGAGCCGAGGCGCAGGTCAGCGCACAGAGCTCAGCGGCGGTGCTGACTGAGAGCCTCACCCCCGGCATCCGCCCTCGCTGTTGACACGCATGCGCAGAGGCGCGCCGGCCAACGGCCCGAGTCTTGGCGCTTGCGCCGTGGTTCGCGCTGCACGCGGCCGGGAGCGGCCGCGCTACTGCGCAAGCGCCGGCGCCCTCCCATCCCCACCGTCGCGCGCTCTCTACCTAGCTTGCCCTGCCGCTCTTGCGTAGGGGGCGGAGCTAAGAATGCCTATTGGTCTGCTTCCGTGCCGGTCAGCGAGTTGAGTGCGCTGATTGGCGGCGGCCCGGAAGGTAGCGGGTTAAGGTGTAAACCCTGAGGAGGCAGCGTTTTCTGGGCTTCTCTCAGATTCTCTCTCCAGAAGCTTCTGCCGGTTCCCCCAGGTCTGGGTACCGGGCTCTGCATCGCGCCGCCATGATGGGCCACCGTCCCGTGCTCGTGCTCAGTGAGTTACGGGGAAGCGGGAGAGGGACGCCCTTTTGGCCCCCACGGTCCACATTCGTCAGGGCTGCCCCAGCCCAGCCCCGCCGCGGCCCGGCCGCTGCGCCTTGCAGCCATTCTCATTCTGGGAGCCGCCGCTCCGCTTTCCTGTCATCCTTCAACCTGGTCCCTGTCTTCCCAGCGCAAACGGCCCCCCGTCGCCAAGTCCCCCGGCTCCGCGGCCGCTGGCCTCGGGACGCTCCTTCCCGCCCGGCCTCCCGTTCTTCGCCGCCCCCCGCCCCCTTCCCGGCGTGATCTTCAGCGTGTAGGCCAAGGAATCCCGGCTTCTTCGCTTGGCCTGACTTTATAACCTCGGTCCCTCTCTCAGTGGCGCCTGCGGCCTCGGCCAAACCGCTCAAGTTCCCGTCTGTGTCATTGGGGCTAACGATATTCCCCCGTGGAGCCCCGTGGGTCAAACGACATGAGTAGATAAACTGCTTAAAAGAGGGTCTGGCAAGCCGCGAGTGGTGTCCTTGGTCACTTTTCAGTAACAGCCCTCTTGAATGTCCGCCTTGTTCCTGAAGTCGCTGCCTCCCTCGCTGGTCTGTCCGAGGTGTAGCTGTTCCCACGCTGTCCCCCCGCGTCGTAATCTTTCCCGCTAACCGGCTTGAGTTTTCTCAGATCTCTTGACTGGTTCCCTTGACCCCTCGGGAACGTCCCAAATTTCTTTCTGAGTAATGAGTGCCACCTCCGTGGCCCTCCCCTGGTATGTTTCTCGTCTGCGTGTAACTTCGAATGCCACTGCAGGACCACCTAAGATGCCCAGCCAGCCGTTGGCCCTTGCTTACCGTCTTCTGTGTACAGGATGCTTAAAAGAGGGTCTGGCAATTCAGAAATTTCATCCATGTTCTCTACACCTGGGAAATGACTGTTCGCAGAAAAAAATTTCAGCAAAACTGTTCTTTCTGATGAATCCATCAGAAAGGTTTGTAAGGGATTTTGCTTAGCACCGCCTGAAGTAGGAACCTGAATCGTGAGAGTCGTGAATGTGTAGATTGGTTGGGACTGAATCGAACATTTTACAGATTTAAATTGTAGGTAACGTATGATTTGGAGAAAGGAAGGAAATGAGCTGTGCTGGTTTGGTTATAAGCCACTGGCTTGTCTCCATCGAGAGGGCCCTGGGTGAGTGGGGCATTGTGAAGCCCTGTTCGGGTCTGCATTGCTCCCTGGCCTCAGTGGCAGTAACCAGTTGGGCTCCCCTAGTAAAGTATGGACACAGTTCTTACTGACGGTGAATGGGTTCCTGAGGCATCCTTCTGACATCCAAGCACGGAGCGACTAGATCTTGCGAACCGGAACACTTTCGAAGAGTCTGTTCGCATCCCACAGCACGCCGTGGAGGAATTATCAGTAATTATGCTGAGACTGTCACGAGTATGATTCTCCCCATCCAAGTAGGAAAATATGAACCCCCCCCCAAACTCCCCTCTTTCATAAAGCAGAGATTGATGCTTTTTTTAGGGCCATTGGCCCTTTGAGAATCCAATGGTAGCTACAGATCCTCTTCCCAGACACAAATGCAGTGTCTCCCGTTTTCCCATGCAGCCTCAGGGCTTCACTTTCCCACTGAGGCCCATTCAGGAATCTCTGGCTGTGAGTCCTGGCTGTAAGAACATGAGTGCTTGGTCAGAGGGAAAGTGACAACCGTGATTCCAAAACTGAAGCATCATGGGTTGTTCCTTAGTATACCAGGGGTTGAAGTAAGGAAGGAAATACGTAGCCATAAGTAATGTTAACTTTTTAACATTTTTTTTGTTTTTCCATATGGAAGAGTACAGTAGTTATGCAGTTTTAACAGGTTTTTTTGAGGTGTAATTATACAGTAAGTTGCAGATATTTAAAGTGTACAGTTTGATAAGCTTCGATCTACATACACACTCACAAAACCTGCATGTTTGTTTTTATTTTCAAAGATTGGGGAACAAATAGCTTGTATACAATCCTGAACTGTTGTCTTTTGTCTTGTCTGTTTTAGGCCAGAACACAAAGCGTGAATCTGGAAGAAAAGTTCAGTCGGGAAACATCAATGCCGCCAAGGTAGCGTGTCTTGTGTAAAATGCGGTCGTTTTCCTCCGGCCTCCCCCGTGCTTCTGTGTCTGTTGCAGTTTGGCCGAGGGAGAGTCGACCTCCCTTCTTTCAGGTGGCTCTGAGGAGTAGGGAGCCCTCCCTCCGTGAGTTAGGCCAGGTAGCCCTCTCAGCATTGGCTTGTGCATAATTCCATGGCTGTATATTGTTTTATAATGTCTATTTGTGTTTGTCTGCTAGACGGGGTTGCTTGGGGGAGGACGTATTTATTATTAATTCCCTTTTGCATTCTTAGTCCCCACCGTAGGTCTCAGATAGATATTCAGTATCTTTTGAATGAAATAGCCCTAGATCTGATTTAGCATGGTGTGGAGGCCGCTATCATGGAAAGAAGTACTAAGACATTTCCGAACTGCTGGGAAATTAAAGCTCCAAAAGGCATTTCCCCTTTTTCCTTGAGAAAAATCATTTCGTTCTATGTCCACCCTGAAAGCATTCCCCGAGGGAGAAAACAGCAGAATCCAGCCATGTGGCGTACAGCATCTAAAGTGCTTGCCAACCCTACTTTGGAGGTGGTGTTGCTAAAACACTGGCTCTGTGGGTTACTCATGTCCCTTTGCCTGACACACGCTCACACCGTCCCCTGGTCTGTGCTTACGTGTTTTACATTTCTTCCCATAGACTATTGCAGATATCATCCGAACGTGTTTGGGGCCCAAGTCCATGATGAAGGTAGGCTGATCTCTTATTGAAACTTTTCGACCACAGATTCTTTTTCTTTTATCTGGAACACTTAAATACAACTTTTGCTTTTGTCCTAGATGCTTTTGGACCCAATGGGAGGCATCGTGATGACCAATGACGGCAATGCCATTCTTCGAGAGGTATGACTTCATTGTACTCTGACAGTCCCCTGAGGGACCCATGACGATACCCGTAGAAGCTGACTCGTTTCTTAGGATTGCTGGAACAAACTACCACAAGCCGGGTAGCTTTAAGCAACAGAAATGCATTCTCATAGACTGGAGGCTAGAGATCTGACATCAGGTGTCAGCAGAGCCACGCTCCTTCTGAAGGCGCTCAGGAAGAATCCTTCGCCTCTTCTAGCTTCTGACAGTTGGCCATATCTTTGACATTCCCTGGCTTGCCAACTCCGTCTCCTTCCCAGTTGTCTCGTGGCTCTCTACTGTGTCTCTCCTATCGTAAGGACTGCGGTGGTTGGATTTAGGGCCTGCGCTAATACTCCGTTTAGTCTCATCTCAACTTGATTACAGTTGCAACGATCCTGTTTCCAAATACAGTCACGTTTATAGTTTCCATGTCCTTTTGGAGGACCCAATTCAACCACAACAATGTTGCTCCCAGTACATAAAAGACACTGTTCCAATCTCAAAACGTTAATAGTTCACTTGGCATAATACATGTTCCCCCAAAAGAAAGAGACTTGGAAAGGTGGTTTACTTAGATATTTTGGGGGGCCACTTTTAAAACAAAGGGGGAATAAGTGTGGAAGTAAGAAGTGTTAGTGCCAAGCAGATGAGTTAAGTCTTCGAGTAGTGTTGATTCTAGTGGCAAACAATATTTTCTTTTCAGATTCAAGTCCAGCATCCAGCAGCCAAGTCCATGATTGAAATTAGCCGGACACAGGATGAAGAGGTTGGAGATGGGACCACATCAGTAATTATTCTTGGTAAGAGAGTCGAAAGTTGATAAAGAAAATTGAATTGAAATGTGGAGATTTTTGCCAGAAAATGTCATATTTTAAAAAGGAAATTACCTGTCCACTAATTACACATATTTAAATAACATTGCTAATTATGCTCTACAATTGAGTAGACAATTGAATATTCATCAGTAGCATGTGATGAGTTGTGTAAATCTGTTTCAATAAAAGAGTCAATTCTTGTTGATCACAGTAAATTAAATTCTGTAAAGTCACCACAAACCGAATTAGCAAATGGTAAACTGTCGCTCCCGGAGGAAACACGGGGCGAAGTTCCTGCGGGCCTCTAGGTCACATCCCGCAGCTGATAAATATGTGCCTTATTTTATGTGCTTTTCGTTTTGTTTCAAAGACAGCCCTCTTCACTTGGGAAGCCTAGACAGCACTTTAGCACTATGGAGCCATTTTAAACAGTGAACTCAGCAATAAAATGTACAAAAGTGTGAAAACCATGGCATAAATACAACATAACTGAACATGAAGGACTCTCGTTTACAGTGAGAGCTAGCACAAGGCAGAGTGCTGTCTTGCTCAGCCTCACATGGGCACGTGCTCATTGGGCGACTCAAGTTTTTGTCTCTGCCTGTGTCTGAGCTACCATGAAGGTGCTACCAATACCTATTAGGGATTAGAAATAAATTTTAGTGAGTAATCAAATTGACAAATACAGAATCTTGAGAATGAGTCACAACTGTACAAGCTTTAGGGCTGATCGTCCCACTTCCTGTAGGATCATAAAGGATCGCTTCGGAAAACTTGGCATGTTGGTTTTATTTGTTGTATAAATTTCAAGTCGGTGAAATTTTCATAATGGAAGCATTCATTTTTTTTAAATCTGATTGCAACAACACAATGTCAGGAAATGAGAAAACTGTTTTAGAGATGCCAATTTATAGTGTTGACCCACACGCCTAAAGAATAGTTCTTACAACAAAATTATTATATGAGCTTCTGAAAAAGTGACAGTTTAAGTTATTTCCAGAATGTCTTTGTACTGCATTTTGAGAATGGTGAGCTGGGTGGGCAGTTTGCTTGAGTCACCACTAAATAATCGCATCTTTAGAGTCAGGTGTTTTGAGGACTGTGAGTTACGTGTGGCCAGTTCTGTGCTTTGAAGAACGACTTGGAGAGTGGGTGAGGGGAGGGAGAGTTCACGTGCTTTCTCGCCTCTGCTGGGGGATGGGCTTCAGGCATCAGGCAGACATTTCCAGCCGATGATGTTAGTTGAGTCTCCTGGAGACATTAGATGGATTAAGTATCCATGAGTCTAGCTGTCTTAGATATAGGTTGAATTTTAAAAAAGCAGGAGGGAAACATGCCGTCACTGAAGACATCTTTTTTCTATGCTCCTACTCTGACTTGTTTGATGAGGCTCACCCTTTCTATGTTTCCTTGTTCAAGCATCTTTTTGGTTATTTTTTTTTTCAGTATACATAATGATCACTTAGGAATGGTTATAAAGTATTGAATTCAAACATTTAGGCACATGTCAAAGGGTATACATGTAAACTTTGGCACATTTGTGTAAATTTTAAAAATTAGTGCCTATGGGCAGGTAGCATAAGCAATTTGTGCAAAGGCTTTTTTCTCTTAAACTATTTTTTGTGAACAAACGTGTGTGTGTTAATTACACAATAAAGACAGGTTTTAAAAGCAGGGGACATTTTACCATTCATCACGCAGAGGGCACATGTACATCTTCGTATTCCAGGCGTGGGGCTGTGTGTGTTTGTTTTTTGTGCCATCAGTTTAAATCCAAGATGTTACAATAATAATTCAACTTTCTGTTGTGTTTTCCTATTCTGAGTCTTTAAAAAAAATGTTTTCCTTTTGTTTAGAAAACTGCTAACAAATATATAGTTAGATCAAGAGAATAGGTAAATCCCAGGATCAGTCTTTGATCATTTAAAATACACGTGGGGAGGATGCTCGCTTTTTGAATTGGCTTGCACGCATTGTAAAAGTTGGAGTAGTAGTAACAGCCAAATGGCCCGGCTTTGGGGAAAATTTATTTTAGGAAGAAAGGTAGGGTACCTTTAGAAGCGTGACGAAGCCGCCTTGATATCCACGTACTTTTTTAAACATTGCGGCATTTGTATCCTGTTTTAGCGGGGGAGATGCTGTCTGTGGCTGAGCACTTCCTGGAGCAGCAGATGCACCCAACAGTGGTGATCAGTGCTTACCGAAAGGCGTTGGATGACATGATCAGCACCCTTAAGAAAATCAGGTAGTAGGAGCAGGGGGGCCAGCAATGGGTGGCATCCAGTATGGGAGGCCTGGGAGACGGATCTGTTCTGAGCTGGTGAAGGAAAGCCAGGCGTGTCACACACACTGTGGTTTATGCCTGTATCATTTTGTGAGAAGAAATGGGAGAGCAAGACGAAGGGACAGGTAAGGGAAGTAAATGTTTTAGACAGTGACAAAGGATACAAAGCAGACAAAAGGAGCTGGGTTTAATTATTCACAGCATATTTTGGTCACATGCTGTCTTCTGATTCCCATGTCAGGCGCCACCATGGGGAATGCGTAAACTCGCCTTCCGAGAGTTTAGATCCTAGTGGGGGAAATTAAGAATTTAGGTAACTAATGATTCAGGGCTGAAAATATCCTACCACCATGTACAAGTATAACTAGTTCAGTTTTAAAGCACTGTGAAGGGTGGTTGCCAGCAGTTTTCCATTAAAACCAAAAAGACGGAGACTAAAAATGCTCTTTGAAGCCGCTGTAGCAGTAACTGAACTTGCCGTTAGTCTCTTTGCTGGGTGCTAATAAGGTGATGAAAGGAAATAAAAACACATGCCTTCCAGCTTCAGGGAATGTCAGCTAAGTGATGACGTGATGAGAAATGCAGTGCTTTTTGTGGTGGTTTTTTTGTTTGTTTGTTTGTTTTGTTTTTTTTGTTTTTTTTTGTTTTTTTTTGACTTAAAGAAATTTGTCTAGAAAGTAAAATCTATCATGTTCTACCTTGTATGGTCAGATCGTTGGGTACATAGGTACCTAGTAATTTGCTGAGCTCTGTCTTGTACTTGCTGTTAGTAAATTACAGTAACGTCTTTATCTGGCACTCTTAGAGAACGAGGAGGTTGAGTGAAATTATTTTTATGAAACAAGCTCTATAAGAATGTAGAGACTCCAGAAGGATTTATTGAGTGTGGAGGTGAATCGATAAAAAGCTCTTCTTATCAAGTTATAGCTACATGCATATCTCAGATAACGCTTTTGGAGCTATTGCTTCTTTCCTAAAATGCATAATTCAGCAACATTTAATGATGGCACGTTATGTGCCGTCCACTGGTACAAAAGGGAGTTCAGTGTGTGAAAATTTGGACAGATGGTTTCCAGAGACTTACGGTTATTTTTTATGGTTCCAAGTAGTCTCACCTTGCACAAGTGTACACTTTCGCTAGGGGAGACTAACACAGAAAACCAGTAAACGCCACATGCTTCACTGTGCAGTAATCGAGCTAGAGTAGGATCAGGTGTGCTGATGGGCGGTGCAGCCCGGTGCTGGTTATTAAAAGGAAGTCTCAGAATTTGCTAGGGGTAAGGTTTGAGACCAAAGGTGTATCAGCCCAGGTTATAACCAGGATCCCTGCTGAGCACAGCGTCTGTTTCCCCTTCCTGTCTGCCTCAGCACCCCCGTCGACACCAGCAACCGAGATGCGATGCTGAGCGTCATCAACAGCTCCATCACTACCAAAGCCATCAGTCGGTGGAGCGCCTTGGCCTGCAGCATTGCCCTGGACGCTGTCAAGACTGTGCAGTTTGAGGAGAACGGCCGGAAGGAGATTGACATCAAGAAGTATGCCAGGGTGGAGAAGGTAAACTCTTCCAACCAGTGCTTTGGGGACAGATCGCTTCCCAGCATGAACCATCCCACTTGTGGGGGGAATAGGTTTAAATCAGAGCAAGACATCTTTATCATTAGAACTAGGAAGAGGAAGAATATTTGCTGCCTGGAAAACAGAAACTTGAAAAGGGAGGTATTCCTGACATAATTCCGTTACCTTCACTGCTGTCCCTACAGGGCCAGGAAGGGCTTCCTGGCGTCTCCGTGGTGGTGCGTTTGTGTACATACCAGCTGTGTGGTTCGTACACTGAGCAACCCACTTAGCTTTCTCCATCCCTAGGAAGATTTTAAAGGTAGCATTAAGAGCTTGCGGCCAGTAGATGGAGCCCCAAGCCTAAAATTCTGTGGGACTCTCAGGAAGTGGAAGAGATCTGAGCCCCTTTATTAAATCTTTGCCAATTGCTGAACTTCTGTGAGTCTCAGCTGACCTTCAAATGAGGTACCAAGATCTAAGATTGGTGTGTTTCCTAGAAGGAAAAAAATATGATTGCAACAGTATTTATTTTTGAGGTTTGTGGAAGAAAGATACTTTAGCAACCTGAAATAGTGGTCCTTTGGGAAAGATGAATGTCTGGGAGGAGCTGAGAAATATCTCCTCCTGGCCGTGGCCTAACGGGGATCTTCTGCGCAGATACCGGGGGGCATCATCGAGGAGTCGTGTGTCTTACGTGGGGTCATGATCAACAAGGACGTGACCCACCCACGGATGCGGCGCCACATTAAGAACCCTCGCATTGTGCTGCTGGATTCCTCTCTCGAGTACAAGAAAGGAGAGAGCCAGGTAAGGTTCCTGGCCCCACACCTTAAGGTCGGCATAAAAGTCCGGCTGCCCACGTGTCCGAGGGGAATAAAAAGGCATGTGTGTCACATTCCTGCGCTGTGTTCCTGCTCTGTCAGCCACTGACCTATACACATAACCTGATTCTTGCAACAGCCCTGTAAAATGGTTGGCACTGGCCTGCATTTCACGGATGAGGGCTCTCGAGCTCAGAGAAGCTAGGTTAATTGCTTGAGGAACACAGCTGGTCTCAGCCACATCAGGAGTTGAGCCCAGCTCTGTGGCTTCAGTCCCATGCTGCCGCGCCCTTTCCTGGCGCGTCAGTAGAACGTGGAGGAGGAGGTCGTTGAGGTTTGAAGTGCTAGAGTTTTCAGAGGGCAGGAGGCTCACCATGTGCCGTCAGCCTTGGGTAAGACAAAGCGATTGGAGCTCATCTCAAGGATGGGCAGCAGAGTCCGTGTGTGGGTGGGAGGGGTCAGAGTCTGCTCCTCTAGGCCCACTGACAGGGCGGGGGCAGCATGTGCCCAGTGGCCGGAGACCTTTGCCATACCCTCCACTAACTGCCTTGTGATCTGAATTCCATTGTTTGTAATTGAAGGAGGTAAACCAGGTGATTGCTGGAGCCCAGCGGCCTGTAGAGGTGGGGCTGTGGCTTTAGCGTACTCCCTGGGACATGAGCGGGGAGGGGGCGGGAGTGTGGCTGTTGGGA